TTAAACAAACATAATAAATAAACATTTGTAAAATTTTATTTAATTCATATATAAATGATAATATTTATTGATTTATTTATGTTAAGTACGAACTTTTTTGTTTTTTGCTTGAAACACAATTGGTGCATGAGTAGACCATTTACGGTCATTAGAATAACATAAAGCACATAATGGATAAATAGTTTTAAATTGTTTTTAACTCATCAGAAGGATCAATAATTCGGCTCCACACCAGTAACATAAATCAACATCTTTTAAACGGCTTGAGTAATAATTTTGTTCAATAGGTGAATCACAAGTAATATTTTGGTGTATATGAAGTTGATTAAAAAGTGGATGGTTTTCTGGAAGAACTGGTGATCCACAACTATAGAAATGTATTGTATAGCTGTTTGGGAATTTTCTTCACTTAAAGCTGTATCACTATAAATGCAACGATATTTCTCACAAACATCACAACAAATCAAATGTCTAATTTTTGTATTTATAAAAATATTCACTTGAGATTCCTTATTTAAAATTTCTTGATATAATAATCAGTATTTTTCATCAGTTAGTCTTCCATATAATTTATCAAACTCTTTATAATGCTCTTTGTCTATATAATTAACAAAGCATTCTTAAAATTAGTAAAACAAATAAAAAAATCAAATGTTTAATATAAATTTACCTGTGGAAATTTCTGAATCAGGTAAAAATGATAATAATTTAAATTGATCATATGGCATTCAAATTGGCTAACATATATGACATTTTTGACTTGTACATTTTTTAATTTGAAAGGTATATGTTCAAATTTGACAATGAGTTTTTAAAAACTCATGATAAAGTTGTTGTTTTTTTAATGCATTAGATGTAGTTATCATTTTTACAAGGCTTAGATCAATCATATATATAGTTTAAAATATATTAATATAGTTATAATAAATTTATTATTGAATTACCAACTAATAAATAATAATTTATCTTAAAAAATTGCACAATTCCTAAATCCATTGCAATTTGATCAATTAAAAAATATTTATTATGAAGTTTTAACCACATTAACTTTTTATTTAATATGTTTTAAATATCTTTAATTAATACAGATAATTCTTTTTTTAACTTTAGATTGTTTTTTGCCTCTTCTTGAATTGATTCCAAAGTTTTAAGTTGTGCAAATACTAATTCAGATTTTTTACTTATCTGATTATATTGTAAAGCTACATCTTGCAATACAAGATTAATAATTGACATAATTCTCTCTGCTGGATTTGCCTAGCTATAATATAGTGCAGTTTTAGCAGCCATTAATATATCAAAATTGCTTTTAAGAAAAAGACATATTAAAAAAATTTGAACTGAACCAAATATACATTTGTAATCTGGTTCACTATCCATATAAATCATTAAAATTTCAGGTAAAAATTCACTATAAACTAAATTTAAATTATTATAAAACTCTTTGCTATATCAAAGAGCTAAACTAGACTAAAAAACTGTATCCTTATATACTACAAAAACTTGTTTATTATAAAATAAATCTGTAGGTTCTTAAGGTATTGTAACTAATAATGTTACTGATGGTGTTAAAGACAACTTTGTAAAATCATAATCACTTGTATTTAAAGTAGTTAAAATTGGAATAGCTACATATTTATTTCATATTCTAGTCGATGTTGCAATATCTTTACTAATATAGTAGATACTTTATACTTATTATCAGCAAATATTAGTACAGTATATTCTCTAAATTTTACTGCAAAGTGATAAAAATATTTAAATACTACACAACAATAATATACATCTAAATATGATTTTCTAAGTTGTCTTGCTTGAACCTTGTATTTAACTTCAAATTGTTCAACATAATTTATACTAGATTTTGTTTAAGGATTTTTTAAAAAAAATTGCAAAGCAATCTATTGTTTTGATAGAACTAAAAAATCTTTAATTATATTTTTATTTTTTTTTTATTTAGGCTTAAAACTGTAATATCTTTTAAATCTCAAACTAATATAATAAGTAGTATATAATGTGTAGATCCATGATGTCTATCTTGAACTGCTAGTAAGTTTTAAAAAATATAACAAAATTAATTAATTTATTAATTAATTTATTTTATAATATTATAAATAATAATTAATTATCAATCTCTTCAAAATATATAGAAACTTTATCCTAAAAAATACCAAACTTTGTGTCTTTAAATAATCTATTATTAGTTTGTAGGTTTATAAAAATTTCTGAATCATCTAATTCTAATATAAGTTTAAGCCACTTATCTATTTGTTTTACTTTTTCAATTACACTAATACTAGAGTTGTCAATTAAATTATAATGCAATAAGTGTAAAACATTTGGTATAATTTAAGTTAAAATAAATACTATAAGAAAGATAAATAACTTTAATCTTAAGTAATTTTAATTTATTTCAAAATTATATGATTAAAAAAATACTTTTTCAAATATATTTTTTTCATATTTTATATATAAAATAATGAGAAAGTTTGTTTTGAATTTCATTTATTGCTTTTGTTTGCAAATTGTCTAATTTTTTATTAGGATCCAAAAGAACCTGCTATATAAAATTTAAAGTTTCAAGATAGTTACTATGATAATATCAATAAATCAATAAATATTATCATTTATATATGAATTAAATAAAATTTTACAAATGTTTATTTATTATGTTTGTTTAA